AAAACACAAACAATGAGACAGTAAATCAAATCATATTGTGCTAAACGTCAGTGAATACAGGTGTGTTTAAGGTTTAAAAGCTGGGACTGAAAGAGTCCTGTGATTTTGACCAAACACTTCATGTTGAGGTCAGTCAGGTCTCCAGCTCGTCCAAAATGCTGCAGCTCGACTCAACGGGAACTCGTAGGTTTGAGTATATTTCAACGGTTTTGTCCTCCCTTCACTGGCTCCCTGTGCATGTCGGTTCCGCTTGTTCTGGACTCCGGTCTCGGGGGCAGCAGCTGAGTAGGGAGCTCCAGACATCTCTTTCCACAGCCAGATCTTCTCAGAGGACTCCAAGGCGTTCCCAGGCCAACCAAGAGACATAGTCCCTCCAGTGTGACCTGGGTCTTCCCCGGATCTCCTCCCAGTTGATGCCCAAAGCACCTCCTGAGGGAGGTGCCCAGGGAGCATCCTTACCAGATGCCCGAACCACGTCAACTGGCTCCTTTCGATGTGGAGGAGCACCAGTTTTACTCCTGAGTTTCTCCTGGATGATTGAACTGAACTGAAGTCACTACCCAGAGTTCATGACCATAGGTGAGGGTAGGAACGTAGACCAACCGACCGATAAACAGAGAGCTTTGTCTTGCAGCTCAGCTCCCTCTTCACCACAACGGACCGGTACGGAATCCACAATACTGCAGACACTGCACCAATCCGTCTGTCAACCTCCCGCTCCATTCTTCCCTCACTCGTGAACCAAACCCTGAGATACTTGAACTCCTCCACTTGAGGCAGAACCTCACCCTTGACCCGAAGAGAACAATCCACCCTTTTCTGATTGAGGGCCATGGCCTCAGATTTGATGGTGCTGATTCTCATCCCAGCTGCTTCACACTTGACTGTGAACCGCTCCAGTGAGAGCTGAAGATCACGATGACGCCAGTAGGACCACATCATCTGCAAAGAGCAGAAATGGAATCTTGAGGCCACCGAACCGGACTCCCTCCACCCCCTGGCTGCACCGAGAAGTTCTGTCCATAAAGTTATGAACAGAATCTGTGACAAAGGGCAGCCCTGGAGGAGTCCAACTCCCACCCTGAAGGGTCTGACTTACTACCAGCAATGCGACCCAAACTCTTGCACCACTTGTATAGGGACCGAAAAGCTCGTGGCAACAGGCCTCCAATCCCATACTCATGGAGCACCCCCCACAGTGTACCTCGAGGAACACGGTCAAATGCCTTCTCCAAGTCCACAAAACACATGTAGACTAGGCAAACTCCCATGACCCCTTGAGGACCCTAGTGAGGGTAAAGAGCTGGTCCAGTGTTCCACGGCCAGGACGGAACCCGCATTGTTCCTCCTGGATCTGAGGATGACCAACGATCGGACTCAGAGGAGATTGGGCTTTTTCAGTCGTGGGCCCTAAACTCTGAAACAATCTGCCCATCAACATTAGACAGGCCACTTTAGTCCTTGTCTCTCCTGAAAGAAGAAGAGATTAAAGTCTCCTTAAATCACTCCACTGACATTTAACGCAGTATGATTTGATTTACCGGTACTATTTCATTGTTTCCGTGTTTTTATTTTTGTTGCTTTTAATTACATCTTTTATTTTTATGATCTTATTGTTAAGCACTTTGGCAACAACTGCTGTTTTAAATGCGTTTATAATAAATTTGACTTGACTCTCATTTCCAACAGGCGCCAGGTAACACGGGGGATCGGAGCGTCCATTTGTGTGTTCTAAAACATAATTGTTAATATAAATATTTGTTTACAAATACAGACATACATATATATAGATATAAATATAATTATTAGATTTTATATTTAATGTGTTTTGTGATAATTACTAGGAAAGGGGATTTAAGTGTTCAGAGTTTTAACACCCCCCCCCCCTACACTTCACAATGGTTTGTTCCAGAGTCGGAGCGGGAAATGGTGAAGGCCTCAGTTTAACCTGCTTCGACAGCTGCTGCCATTATCAAGTAAGAAAACAGCTCCCAGGTTTGTTTTTAGCTCCGTGGTAGTCAGAAACATTGACAGTAATAAAAAGGAAGTTAAATTGCTTAAGGCAGATTAGGGTAATATGTTACAAATAGTTTTGTTTTTTATTAGAGAGAAATAGCATATTTTGATTTCCAAGTTGCCAAGTCGTGTGCAAATAGTTCAGAAGAAATAAATTCAAGATATAATTAAACCCAGTTTTTTTTTTTTACATTTTATTTAAACCCATACAGTGAAAAATACACCTGAAGTCTTATTTAAAGCTTCTGTGTTTGCTTAAAGTTATCACTGGGTTAGCTTAGCAGCTAAGCTAACTCACGGCTCAGTTTAGCCTAGATGCTAAGCTAACCACCGCCATATAGTTTTTTTTATACATCTAATTTATCAAACACGCCTATCCCCCCCCCCCCCCATATCATTAACAAATGCAAAAATAGGTGCATTAGCTCAGCTGTTGTTTATTAAAATATATTTTTGTAAGTTAGTTGTTTAAGGCGAAGTTAAAACAGCTGAATAATTGAGTTGCACTGTTTCCTACAGGTGGTCTTGAATAGATCTGGCTTAACTCATTAAACAACTTTTAAAAGATTGATTTGACACGTTAGAGGTTTAATGTTTGTATACAAGGTATTTGATGGTCGCCTCTCAAATTAATGCATTTAGTATATTTTCTTCATAAAAGAAATGTTGCTAAGCTTATATCTAGCAATCTCCTAATCACATATTTGTAATGTTTTAAGTTTCAAATACAAATCCTTTAATATCCATCCATGATCACCCACTGTCCTTTTTGGGTCCATTTTCAGCTATCACTGTGAGAGAGGCGGGGGACACCCTGGACAGGTCTCCAGTCCATCACAGGGACACAGAGACAAACAACCATTCACTCTCTCACCTAGGTGAGTTTAGAGTTACTAATCAGCCTAACATGCATGTTTTTGGTCTTTGGGAGGAAACTGGAGTACCCTGAGAAAACGCATGCACGGAGAGAAAATACAAACGCCACTCAGAAATGCCCCTGGCCAGGATTTGATCCAGCAACCTTCTCGGTAAGAGGCGGAGCTCTCCCAACTGAACCACCGTGCCGCCGCCCACTTTAATAACCAGTTCTGTGTAATGCAGGAAAGTAAAACCCTGGTATTTGATGATATTTACATTTCTGTTCTTCTTATGCTGAACAAACGGCTCATTTGATTTTACATTCTGAGCCCTGGTTTGTAATAAATAAAAGTTTATAATTATTATGTTATTGATGTAACTCCTAAACGTGTTTCTCTTTCTGTCTCCTGTGCGTGCCTTCGTTCGTGTCTATCAGCAGACCACATCCAGCCACCGGACATTTCTTGGTAATTGAGATGTGCGAGTTGTCTGAGATAAAGCCACACCCGGCTGGACCCTCACTTCTGCGCCGAAGGTAACCACGGAGCAGAGATGCAACTTAAACTTCGTTTCCTCACTTCCACACTGTCCTGTTGAATTTCACCGTCACAGCTTGCGTCAGACAGCGATGAAGGATTTGAAACTTGGTCCTGTTTATTCAGTGGTTCTGCTGGAGTTAAAAAGGTCTGAGTCCACCCTCTGCAGCTGTGTGTACACTCACACTCCTCCGTCTAGTCCATCTTGGTTCATCCTCCCTATTTCATTTCAGACATCTCTGTTCTGCCATTTCCTTCTCCCAGGAATTCCTTTTTTCTTCCTGTTTGATTTCAAAAGTGCAAAGTCCCTCTTTTTATATTTTCACTCCCCCTTAACCAACTCCCTGCCTCTTCTTTCACCTCCTCTCCTTCACCTCCAGATAAATCCTCCAAAAGTCACACAGATGTGTGGAGAAACCAAAACAAGCAGAATTTTAATTCCTGGCATCTGAGGACTCGCCCTTTGGATCAGGACAGAACGAACAGCGGTCACTTTGGTTTGGTCAGTGTTATTCATGCCGCTCAAAGAGACCACAGGAGCCAGGCCGCTTTGAAGAGAAGAGTGCACAAACATGAACAAGTAGAGATGAATTCGACTATATTTGAATAGTTTTTTCCCTCCGTGCCCTTCTGGTTTAGATTTATGCACGACTGAGTGTTTGCATTTGGCTAGCTGCCTGGCAACCTCCTTTAACTAATGATTAACTCGAAAATCTGCTGCTTTTACATCAAAATGGAGATTTTTGCAAAGTTAGAAATGAACTCCAGGTAGTTGAGATGTTGCGTCATGTTTCTGCTGGTGGAAAGAAAAACTTTGAGTTTACAATTGAATTGAACATCAGGCTGCCAGAGACAACGTTGAGTAGCAATGAAAGGAAGCAGTCATGAGCAGATGAAAAGATAAATGGGCGGAGGTAAGCAGATGAGGTCTCCCAAAGAGACCACTGGGAGGGTAGATGGTGAAGGGGAGAGAAGTTTAAAGGCTTGAAGAGGAGGAGGAGGAGAGGCTGAGGCTTGGAGGGTAACTCCCTTCTGAACAGGATTCACTCACATCGAGCAGAGAGGAGGAGGAGGAACATCTCACTACTGAGCGGACAGGAAACACTTTCACATCTGGATTAATTGGGACCTCTTTGGAGCCTTGAATTGACTCATGGAGATCCTGCAGGTTTGAACATTACCCTCTCCTGCAGGCAGAGAAAGACGAACCAGCTCTCAAATTCCACTCCAGCACCTGCTCATCACAGAAATTGCTCTTCGTCCTCCAAATTTACAGCTTCAAAGCCCAAAGCAATCTTCCAAAGAGGCATTGTTTGTTTGTACTCAAAACTCGAGGAGAAAAGCTTGTAATTATGCTCTCACTCTCATCATCGGTTCCTGCTGCTGCCTGACTGAAGAGCAGAGGGAGAGAGGTGGGTTTTCTTCAAGGTTGGAGATTAAAGAAGGTGGAAGAGGAAGCGTAAACAGAGCTGGCGCTTGTCTAAACACCTCGCGTATAAATCAGGGCTTTGTTTGTCTGCGGTGACTGAACTGGAGCAACAGAATACTCTGGAGACGAGACCAGGAGCAGAACCAGAGGAACTTTTACTCATGGCCTCAGGAGTCCAGCTGCAGAGCGGACCCACCTCCACCCTGCTCCTCCTGCTCCTGCTCTCCATCTCGCTGTGGAGCCAGCAGGCCGAGGCCGTGGTCCACTCCAGCTTCCGGCGTCTCAGCGGCCGCGAGAAGAAGGAGATGCAGAAGGAGATCCTGAACCTCCTGGGCCTGCCGGGGCGACCCAGACCCCACCCACCGCTCCGGCCACCCTCCTCCGCACCGCTCTTCATGTTAGATCTGTACCACGCCATGTCGGCCGACGACGAGAACGAGATTGATGGCATCGGACCGGGCCCGGGGCGGTTCGGAGCGGCGGCGCAGGTCAGCTACGCGGCCCTGCCGACCCTCAGCACGCACACACCGCCGCTGGGGACTGTGGTCAGTGAGGCCGACACCGTGATGAGCTTCGTCAACCTGGGTGAGTTGTTAAAACCAAAACATTTTGTCAACACGAAAGAGGAAACACGGGGCAGGTATTTTCTCACTTTGAGCTTATACGGGCACTCTTTGTCGCATGCGCGCTGTTGGTGACGAGCGTCGTTAAAGCAGCAGCGCAGGTGTCGGAGTTATTTATTTATCAGCTCAGCAGCAGAGGTTCACGGTTCAAGCATGGCGCTCAAAACGACAAGGCAGTCGTATTTGTTCATAACTTTATTAGTACGTCTGACAGACACGAGCAAACAGTTTTCAGAACGCACCCTGACAAAATAAGAAAGTTCCTAGAACTTGTTCCAGCACGATCCAGTTCAAATTAAGCCCCGTGGCCCCGTTTTGATCTTCTGGAAGGAAGGACACCAACAACAGCACATTATGAACTCTTCAACTCTGTTCTTGTCATTTTTAAGAACATTTCTCCAGTTTTCTTGATTTTAAACATTTTCTTGGGATGTTTGTACCTTTTTCATAATGTTCACATTCATGACTTCCTTTCTCCAACTCTTCTGTTTCTTCAATGTTTTTTTTAGACACAACTGGGACTAGTTGAGCTAATAACTCATAAGGAATAACCTTTTGGTGTCAAAAACTTTATTTTTGTCTGTTAAACTGTCCAAGCTTTGGTGTTTGTCACAAATTCAACCAAAGAAATTTCAACAAATTGTGTTGACGCAGCTCTGGTTCATCCTTTGAGCTCAGGAGGATTTTGCCTGAATGATTCCTGTCAGACTTCAGTAGCTTAAAAAAATTAATGAAATATTATTTTGATTATTGTTTGGTTCGTTGATTGAATCAGAGTAAAAAAAAAAAAACAGCCAAATAAAAACAATTTTAAAGAGTAAAAGGCTGGTTTTCTAGAAGAAAAATATTTAAAAATGACGAGTAGTTAACATTTTAATGTCAGATTTGTTCAGAAAATTCTCTGTCATAATAATCCCTCCAACAAAATCCCAAATTATAATTTAGATGCTTCAAAATGAAGACGCTGTAAACAACCGGAGGTAAATCTGTTTTGTTTATGACAAACGACCTTCAGAGGTTGAATATTCGTCTCTGTGGTCTTTGTGTTTTTAAAGATTTTAAAAGCATAAAACATAAATGTAGTTTGATTAAAAATTTAAATTTGTGTAAAATTGTGAGTAGTCTTTATAATATATGACAGATAAACAATAATGTTGTGAATATTTGTTTGGAGCTAGCCGCCATCAGTTTCTTTGAGTCAGTCTGATGATGATGACCACATCTGTTTGTTTGGGACTTTATGCTAATTGCTTTGCTCATTATTGAGGCTACGTCTGTTTACAGGTCAGAACCACATTAGCGGGTCTCTGCAGAACCGGACCCTCCTGTCTGAGCTTGTTCTGGGTCGCAGCTTCATGCTATAATCAGATTTCTGACGGGTCGACCAACAAACCTGTTTGCGTTCTTAACGCTTTGGTTCTGGGAACTCTGAACTGACGACGTTGCACGCCGCTTCTCAAACTCTGAATGGGTTTTTGTGCGTTTCTGTGAAAGTCGCTGCCGTCTGGCCGATGCCTATCTTCTGCGAGCACGAAAGGTAAACATCCTCTTCCCAACGGCTTCCTTCCTCCCGCTTCTCCGGGTTTTGGATGGTGATTGGAGCTCAGTTCAGCGTGGGAATAATTCGTCTCTGCTCGGAGCTTTTAGCAACTCCCATCAATTAGATGTTTTTGAAGCTCTGCTCTGTTGCAGAGAACTTATCTCAACATCTCATCCTCCAAACCACAACGAGGTATCTGGTAAACAAAGGTGACTTTTAGCTGCTTCCATCAGATAATGAAGCTTCGAGCTCATCCTGAAACAGAAGAAGCAGTTGGTGGTGTGTGTTCCCTCGCATGTCATGGGACGAAACAGCTGGATGGAATTAAAGGCCCCACTGACACACAACGGTCCGAATCGAGATGAAAATACCTCTGTGGAGCAGAGGCTCTAAAAATACAGGGCAGGCCTGTAATTAGTGGTGTGTGTGCTGAGCAGCTGCTGCGGTTCAGCGCAGTAAGTGTCTCTAATTACTCTGCAGTGTGCGCGCGCAAATACGCCTTATCGGGGGTGTCGTCCTTATTTTTAACAAACGTCTCAGGTAGATTCTGTGCAGGAAGTCCATTTGTTGCTTGTTTTGTTCATCGGTTTGATTCATCAGAAGCAAAAAGCAGAACCTGACCTTGTTTCTGTTGCAATTAATATTAATGAAAATAAGTTTTTGCTCATCGTATGAGCTACCTCGGCTTTAGTAAACGAGTAACTCGGAGGTTGTGATGCACAGAAATGTTTGTTCCTGCAGTGGAGCAGGAGCGTGACCTTTATTTATACAGGTTAGTCGATATGAGAAGATGTAAGAAAATAAAAGCATGCAATTAGTTTTGCCTGCGACCTTTTATAAAAATATTTAAAAAACGTTTAAATCACTTGACTTTTGTGTTTCAGTATCAAGATCCTGAATGACAAATCTTACATCTGTGTTTAATATGTTTGTTTGTTTGGTGCAAAAAACAAAAGCGTGCTGATGTTTAAGACAACAAAAGGAATCCAGACTGATTTTAATTTACTCCTGCTCTGATGACACATTTTTCAATGTGTGCGTTTTGGTTCAGGATTGTTGTTTTGTTTGTTTACTTTAATAAAACGCAGATCCATACGTGTTAATAATCGTTTGGTGCAAACTGCCTTTAGTTTACATTAATAAGCTCAGAGTTGTTTGGGTCAAATAAACCAGATAAAATATAAAGAGTTTAACTTTTAAATGATCTGTAGATTCACGTAGAAATCACGGTGCTCTCTAAGGTCCAAGTCAACTTGTTGCAGCCTCCTGAGCCTGTTCGGGTCCGTCTGGACCAGGTCCAGTTGTGTGGGGTGTGCTGGTCAAAGCAGATGGGTGTAAAACTGTCAGGGCTGCACGTCGGTTTCCTCCAAACACTTCAGCTGAGTTGATCAGTTTACTTTTAAAACAAGACGCCGATTACTCTGCTGATGTTCAGTAAAACCTTTAAAGCTCTTTGGGTCTCACTAATTCTCTGCTCTTGTGGTTTTTCATCACCTTCACTGCTGCTGCTCTTCCTCACATCTGTTTTAATGATGTGCTGTCAGTTCTGGATTAAAGTTGTTTCACTGTTTATTTGCAAGTTTTAAAGGAATAACTTGTTTCAAACTCGTGAGTTCTAAATGAGTAACTCGACGGTTCTGATGCACAGAAATCTGTTTGTTTCTGCAGTGGAGCAGGAGCGTGACCTCCTCCAGCCTCGTCCCTACTGGAAGGAGTTCCGTTTTGACCTCACCCCCCTCCCTAAGGGTGAGACGGTGACGGCGGCCGAGTTTCGGATCTACAAGACCCTGACTGTGGGCCAGAGGGTGAACCGGACTCTGCACATCTCTGTGTACCAGATCAAACGGGAGAGCAGGAACAGGTAGCCTCAGACGCTTCTCAAATTCTCCTCAAGGCCTCAACCCAGCTTTCACTTCTGTTGGACAGGAAGTGGTCTCCTTCTTAGAAGCATACGCTGAATCGTACGTCACGTCACCGCCATATTGGATGTGGCAAAAGTGAAGCAATGGGAGAAGCAGCCCCATTCATTCAGAGCAGCTGCACTGAAAAATCTGTGAAAGACTATTTTTTCCCAAAGTTTATAACATACACACACTGAATATATATATAATATGCGTGTGTATATATATACACACACATAATATATGTATGTATATGTTCATCAATGTCATTAATCAAAATCAGTTAAATGTGAATGTTTATGTTCTTTATTCAGAAAATCCACACGTCACATTTCAGGATCTGGTTATTATAGACAGATTATTATATTTATTTAAATTTATCTCCAGAGTAAGCGTTACGTTAGTAGTTGTAAACGCTCAACCATATGTTGGTTTAGTGCTTACATTTAACCTAAACATTTAAGGAGTAAACATTTTTAATAATCACTTTAAAAGTGACGAATGTTGTCTTAGTTTTCCAAATGTATCGTGTGTGTGAATGACGAGGATTAACTTCAAACACTTTGTAGAACGGTGTTTCATCAGGTTCTGTCCATTTCCTTATATTTGTTGACCGGCTGATCTGCCACATCCAATATGGCGGCTGCTCTGACGCACCGCTGCAGCGGGTCAGCCCGCTCAACGAGACGTCTTATTTCTGTTTATGGTCTCCTTCATACCTCTGGATGTAAATATTAGATAAAATTGAGTTTTAATCAAGTAAAATAATTCAGATGTACTTAGGGCTCAGGTATTTGTAACTCTTCTAGTTACTGGTAGAAACTGCTCCACAGATATTTATCTTGTTTGTTTTACTGAATAAATGTCCGTTAAGCACCATAATCCTCTCATTAGTTTAAATGTTATGCGTTTGCCTTCAGAGAGGCGGAGCTGGTTCTGCTGGACATGCAGTCGGTTCCTGCAGGTCAGGAGGGCTGGCTGGCCTTCGACGTCACCTCGGCCTCCAACCACTGGCTGCTCCACCCCCGCAGCAACCTGGGCATCCGTCTCTACGTGGAGACCGAGGAAGGTGAGGGTTCTGCTGGAACCACCGGGACCGTGGCACGAAATCCGGTTTCTGACGAGTCCCGTTTTCTCTCAGACCGCTCTCTGTCAGCAGCCTGGATCGGCCTGGTGGGCCGCAGGGGTCCTCGCTCCAAACAGCCCTTCATGGTGACCTTCTTCAGGGAGAACCAGGTTCCCTGTCGACCTCCACGGGCCATCAAGCCGCACCCCAGGAGGAAGAAACACAAATATGACCTCCCGGTCCCCATCATCCAGAGTAACGCTCTCATTCCTCACAAACGGCGTCTTTTAAAAACTTTAGAGCTTCCACAAATCTTTAAAAACACAACCAAAGAGTGGAAACATTTCTTTAGACGTGTGGACTTCAGGTCTGATGGAACTGATTTATAGACGTTTAATTAGACCGTCGTCAAACCTGTTCCCACTTGAAAGGTTCTGATTGTTTAATTAGAGAAGGTTCTAGACCTTGTGATTTATTTTAATAAAACTCTTAAAACATAAAGTTAATTTAATGTGACGTTTATGATCAAACCATGACTTGAATCTGTTCTTGTGTTCAGATCGTGGTCCTGTCAACAAAGGAGAACCCTGTAAAAAACATGAACTCTACGTCAGCTTCAGTGATCTGGGATGGAAGGTCTTTATTTATTTATTTATTTATAAGGAGTGCTGTGTGTTGTCATCGTCGTATGTTCTTGTACGACGGTGAAGTTGGTCTCTGCGTTTAACCCATCGCACCTGAGATGCACCCAGGTGGAGCAGTGGGCAGCCATGTAGGCGCCCGGGAGCAATTGGGGATTGGGCGTGTTGCTCAGAGACACCACGACGTGTGGGAATGACTGTGGATTGAACCGGCTGCCCTGCCTCTACCCCCCCATGAATTATTTACAGTAGACTTGTGCAAACAGGCTAAAACTTGGCATTGGCTGATAATTATCCTAAAACTTTTTAAATCCTGCCTTTGTTTAGATAATCAGAGTTTCCTCCTACATCTTATTATTTTAAAGAAAACTCAAATCCTTCTTTTATTATTATTATTAATGAACTGTCTTCTTCCACTCGTGTTCTGTTCAGGACTGGGTTCTGGCTCCTACCGGGTACTCGGCGTATTACTGTCACGGAGAGTGTATTTATCCTCTGGGCTCCTGCATGAACGCCACCAACCACGCCCTCATCCAGCTGGTGGTCAGTACCAACCAGAAACCACTCGAGATCGTGTGAAATTACTTTTAATGTTCCTCCTGTGCTGAAAGCTTTGAGTAATGATCAGTGTTGGATATTTATTTAACTAAATTAACTTTACATCAACATGAAGCGTTAATTTTTATTTAAAAAATGGGAGCGCTGCAGAAACGGTCCCCAACTCGATCCGGTTTAACAGTAACGATGTTTTCAGAGTGAAATCTTCCTGATCAGATTAAAACAACTGCTTTGGTTCTGGCAGGTCCACCTCCTGAAGCCGGACGAGGTCCCGTCGGCCTGCTGCGCCCCCACCAAGCTCAGCTCCATCTCCGTGCTCTTCTACGACGACAACAACAACGTGATCCTGAAGAAGCATCGCAACATGGTGGTGAAGACCTGCGGCTGCTTGTGAGAGGAAGGTGAAGAACTTTGGAACGAGAACTTCAACTTATTGTAAACCTCAGTATTTCTAGTTCTTTGCACCGTCGTCTTTATAGTATTTTTAAACTTTGATAGTTTATAGATGTCAATTAAATTATTGAATATAAATTTATTTATAAGACAATTTTTTTGTATAATCAGCAAAAAGTGTTTAAAACTAAACGGCAGATAAATTTAGGACTCGTTTCACACGGAGCTCAGTTTTATGATTTATTTACTGATGGAAGCCTCGGTGGCAGATTTATGTTCTCAAATCAAAATTTGTTGCGTTAAGTGTAAAAACATTTAAAATAGAATATTTATTTTTGTACTGAAGCTACAAACGCTGATAATTAAAATATTTTAACCACTAAAGTGTTATATTAAATCTTAGATTGTGTTTAAGTCGTGCGTCTTAAAAGAAAACAGTCAAACTGAAATCTGCTCTTGGATTAATAAATATTCTTTTACTAAAAGTTAAATATAAATACATCTTAACAATGCATAAAGTCAAACTAAGTGTTTTGTTGGGTAATAATTTAAAGTCAGGTGGACTTCAAAGGTACAGTCCACTCATGATCATCTATGTAAACATAAATATCTTACCTGCTGTAGATGGTTCCAAGTCCTGATGAGCTAATCCAGTTTTCAGTTCGCTGGTGATTTCCCATTCCTCGTTACTTTATCAGAAATATTAAATTCTTACCAAACACGCACACCGGACGTAGATATAGATCTAGATCATAGACGTTTGCCAACATCTGTTATGTTAGCTACTGTTTAGCTAATGTTAGCCAACACCGTCGGCATTGGTTCTGCCTGAACACTCATTCTACAGATCGTGACTTTTTTTTTTTTACTTGTTTTAACGTTTGTAGAAACGAACAAATTCGGGTTAAATAAATTGCTTTATTGAAAATGTTTAAAAAAGGACAGGGAAAGCTAAATTAGTTTTTGTGATGCGTTTCTTGAAACTGTTGCGAGGTGCATGAGGCAGCTGGAAAGGTTCAGTGGATTTTAACATTTTAATTAGTTGTATTTTTAGTAGAGACAACCTTTTAGAAAACTTCTATCTGTACACAACAAAAACAAAAATAATCTAAAGAGGCTGCTGGTGTTGGTCCACATCCTTCTGGTACCGTGAAGCGTTTCTCCGTGGCCACCTCGTTCCTGCAACAGAACAAACAAATGTTTGTTGGTCCAGGACTCTTCTGGTCCAGCAGACTGACAGAGTTCCTCTTCGTGTGTTTCATGATGTAATAAAGTGGATCATAATCTGAGCTGGTTGTTTCTGGTTCTTTTGAAACGATGTCATGAATCAGATTGTTGCGTCATTTTAACAGAAACAGGAAACTAGTTTGTGCACGTTCGACTGTGGGTTTTTCTGTAAATGGTTTAAACCAAATGAGAACTTGAAGAATAAAATATTTAAATGCAAAAGATCAAAGTGAGGACTCACCCAGGTTTCAGTGGCCGGGGTCCTTCAGGCCTGGACGTCAGCCAGCTCAGGAGGCATGGGGGACTTGGGATGTTTGCTCTCAAAGTGCTGCTTGAAGGTTTTTGGGTCGGGCATCTGTGTCTGAAAGAACCAAACGTAAATCGTGTTAAACCAGCAGGTTCTGATGGGATGACCTCCGGTTCCGCCGCCACAGCTCGTACTGACCCGGCAGACGGGGCACGTGTGGACGAGGGCGACCTTGGCTGCAGTTTTCTGGTCGGCGCCCTGACCCTTCTTCTTGTCCGCCGCCTTCTTGGCGTTCTTCTGCTGGGACTGGATCTTCTGCTGCCCGCGAGCCATGGCCCTCCGCTTTGACCTGCGGGACAAACGAGACGACGTGACGTTCAGAACCGGGTCACCACCCGAGTCCAGACTGACACGCTACAAAACGGTCTCGTAGGTTTTTCTCCTGGGTCTCAGTCTCATCGCTCGAGTCCTTAACGAGTTTGAAAAGTGTCCAAAGGCAGCGGCTCAAAGATTAGTGGGAGGAGCTTCACGTACTCTCTGGACGCTCCGTTCTGATCATTTCATCAGACTCCAGGGGAACAGCTCGTGAAGCGACACGCAGAAGACGACGTGACGTCAGCACGCCGTGTATGTGGACCAGTTCTGAAGTTCAGGACCGGCTGGTTCAGTGTTTACGTTTGATCCAGTCTCTAAGAACTGCACGGACTGAAAGTAGAAACAAACTAACATGACCCGATCCAACACCAGCATCAGTACCATCTGCTGGTGCAGATTCTAACATCCAAGAAAAAAAAAAAAACCAGAATCAACTGGACTGGTTCTGAAGAGTTCTGATATTTAAACTGCGTGACGTCACCATCGATGTTTAGATCCATCCACATCCTCGCTGACGTGAAGTCGGATGAACTGAAACCTGAACGTTCAGACTTTGAAAAACACCAGATATCTGGTCCGGTACCACATGTGAACAAGAACTGGGTCAGATTTGGGTCTCTTGCCTGCAGTGCGACTGTAACCTCCGTTAAATCAACAATAACTGATTCAAATGAGCAGCAGAGAAAACTGAATGTTTGTTCTCAGAATAAAACAGTTTCTGACTCCTTCCTGTTAAAGCATCAAAACAACAAATAAAACATTTTGTGACGAAGTTCTAGAAACGATCCAGAAGTGGAAAAGAGGATGTCGGTCAGGTAACCTGATGAGATGCAAAGATGAATTCTGAAATAAGGATCATCTTCAAAAAACTGAACATCATTTTATCGACTAAACGTTCAGCTCAACAGAATTTTGGTTCAAGTGGAAACCGACTAAACTGCAGAGCAGAATATTAGTTTAAAACAAAGTATCTTCAAGTTCATGTTTCCAACGGAAAACGATTCTACTTCTGAGAATAAAAAATATAAATGTTTAAAAGGTAGAGCAAGAATATGTTCACCCCAGTATTTTATTTCTTTGTCCAATTTATCGTTTGTAAAGTCACAATAAATGTTATAAAAATTAGTTAAATTAAAACAATCTGTTTTTAAAATGTTTACTCAAACTGAAAACCACTTCTAAAGTATAAAAAACAAGTTTATATATTATTTATCTCTAGCATCTATCATCAGACAAGCCCCTTCACTGTCCAGTTTTAAAACTCTTAAAAACACATTTTTACTTCCTGGCTTTTAGCACACACTGAATTTGATCTGCACTGTTTTTATTACTTTTATTGATCTTAATGTTTTAACAACTGTTTTTATGTGTTTAAATGTTCTTGATTTTATATTTACAGCACTTTGTGGCAGCTGTGGTTGTTTTAAAGGGCTTTATAAATAAAGTATTATTATTATTATTATAGCTAAGCAGTTATGATTTAAATTACATATTCAGCTTTTAAACTATTTACATCTTATTTCAGAAAAACACCCTTTTTATTATTTTAATCAACATTTACCTGATCAAACCACATCAGAACATTAATTCAGTTCACTACAGAAATAAACTGATTTCAGTAAACCTCAATAAATTAAATGTTTTTACACTAAAGTTAGACATCCAGCAATTATCTACAAAAATTACACGAAACTAAAGCGAATTACAGAAAAAAAGAACCAAGATTTAAATTTAAAATTAGTTAAACATGTAGTTGCAGAAAAATAAAGTAGAAAGATTAAAGGAGTCTATTTAGACAGAAACAGGTGAATACATTCAAATAAGCATTCCTATAAAATGTTTGTTGTTGTCCACAACAGCTGCTGTGAACTTAACTATTAAAAGTGGTTTTAAAGATTTAATTTACAATAAATTAACTCAAATTTATTGATAATCTGAAAGTTTTAAATAAAACCTGCAGTCAACAAAATGGCCAAACTGTTGGGTCAGAAAATACAAAAGTTTTATTTTAGTCTTTGCAAGTTTGTACTAATTACTGCAGACTTGCAAAGACTTTAGTTGGAAGATAATTGTAGTAAATAAAATGTCAGCAGTTAAAACTTGGCATTTAATTCATATTCACGTTCATTTTAATTAACATTTTAGTAAACTATACTTGTTCAGGTTTTTATTATTTTACTATAGCGCCATGGGTTAATAAAACTGTGTTCTTGCTACGCTAATGCTAACGACATTAGCTCGGAGGAGCTAACGTTTCAAACCGTTAGCAAGCGAAGCAACAAATTTACAATTTTCGGGTAAACATTCGTTCACAGATCAGTTTCACACCAAACCGAAGTGAGTTCCAGTCGTTAAACTCAGAAATATTTCGATTTAAGAACGCTTACCTTCGAGAATCGACGCTGTCGCCGCTCCTTTTTCACGTTTTTATTTTTTGAGAACCGGAAGAAAAAAATTGCAGACGTCAAAACTCAGACCTTTTTTTTTTTCCCGTACAAATGCGCATGCTCGGAGTCGGAATTTTGCAATGCATTGTGGTCTAAATATGTTCATGCCCACTACCTGTTCTCTCATTATTTATTTGCGTATATTCGTCATTATCACTGACTGTCCTCTTTCTCCGACAATAATAATAATAAAAAAAATTAGACACGTATCTTAAGTTTGATGTTTTATCTGTGCGTTTATTCCTCTACCAGCTCCCGGAAGTAGCTGCACGTACGCATGCGCATTGGTCTCCTTAAAAGGGTCAATCCAAAAGCTGTAGCGCCCTCCCACTGGACAGAGGCGGAACTACAACCTCTGCAGCAGAACTGCCGTTTAACTTTCTTTTTATTGTTTTGGTTGGCTTGGTTTTGTTGGTTAAAAAGTATTTTCTTGTTTAATTTTAAAACCCTTTTTTATAGGTCACTTTAGAGTAAACTTTGAGCTTAATGAAGTATAAAAATAAAATGTGTTAGTCTACAGAAACCTAGTTTACTTGTCTGGTTATTTTTGTACTTTCAACACTAAGTGTCTAAAAGCCTCTGCAGAATATTTCAAACCTTAACTTTAACTTAAAACCCCCAAGTTTTAAAATATGAAGACAGAAGCTTGAATCACAGTTTCACCACTTTATTACAGTAAATGAGTCGATATACACACAGAACAGAGACGGACAGGTTTGTGTTCTTTCTCTCTCCTTCCCTTCCGTCCCTCCATCAGCACGACTTGACAAAACAGAAAAGTTCAGATTCAGACAGAAAAACTCCGGTACACTCCGGTAAATAAAGCCTCATATTCATAAAGTGAAATTTCAGAGAACGCCATAATCATCTTCATACCGCACAAACATGGGCACCAGAGACCCCCGAGACCCAAAAAGGAAGAAGCACCCGCTTCTTAGAAAAAGTAATGGATGGATACCACCACACATCTACTGAAAATAAAGTGTTATTAGCAGCAATTTGTTTAACATTTTTAATTATTTTAAAGCCAGCTGGAGTCTCTGAATTCAGTCAGAAAACAGCAAAAAATCTAACTTTTCTCAGAACGTCTCACCAACCAACATCTATGAGTGAAATAAATCACGTGAAACTTCATGTTTGTGGGTTCAAATTCACAAAATCTAAACGTTTGATTATTCCTGACAGCAAATTTTAAGCAACATCGGTACAAAAGTTAAAAGGCATGAATGTATAAAAATGATAATCTGCTTTTTATTTGTATTCTTCACCAAAGACAGTTGAGGCCGCTGTAAATTATTCGGGGACGAAAGATGAAAATAAGAAATAAAAGAACCTGCTTTAAGAGGTCCGGTGAGCTGCGGCTGACCGGCCTGAAACGGACCTGGGGCTGAAAATATGAAACACCCGCAGCTTTAAAAACAGCCACGATGAAGCAGCTTCTACCGAACGAGTTTGTTCAGTTTTGAAATGAACCACATCTAATCTGAGTGAACCACATCTAATCTGAGGACATAAAAAGATGCACATTTTTAATTTAAAAACCAGACAGGGCTGAAGAACAGCAGCAGGACGAGGATGAAGAGGTTTATTTCTGTAGAAAAACACGTGACTTGATTTACCGCTTTAAATAAAAAGAGACATTTTGTCTGTAAGACGTGGGTCCTGAACTACATTCAGTCATTTCCAGGTTGAAAGAGTCGAACTCTGACCTCGAAGTGGAAGACGACGTTTTAAAAAGACAAAACTGAACCGGAGAGTTTTCACAGTTTTCACAACGAGAACGAGAGAGAGAGAGAAATACCCACAAACATAAAGAGTGGTTGTCGTTTTCTTCTTTTTGTGCAGTATTTACATTTTAAATTGTGATAAAAAGAAACGTATTTACAAAAATGCACAACTAAGACCGCTTGCGTTGACAGAATGAGGGAGGTATAAACAACTTTGTAATAAAAGGAAATAAAAATCGGTGATATTTACAGAAACGGCTTGAGAAGGTTAAAAAAGGAGGTGAACGCTTTGACGGCCTCCCTGCAGGGCTTCACACTTTTTCATGGCTACAGGAAGTCTGACAGCTCTGAGCGTGAAGCGAGGCGCCCGCGGAGACGCTCCAACGACTGGACAGGAAGTGGGTGGAAGTGACCTCGTCAAACTGGGAGGGTCCCAAGTAGGAAGCTGGAAGTGAAAACACTTGTTTCTTTAATGTGTGAATTAAAAAAGGAGTGGGAGGAGTTAATCTACAAACCTTCAACCTGCTGCTCCTAAAGTCAGACACGAACTCGTAGAAAAACATTCTCTGGGCTTTTTGTGTCCGATTTACTTCAAACTACGTTAAATGAAGTCAGAGACGAATCCACACGAGCGGCTGGCTTAAAGGGATTATCCTGCCTCCAAACACGAGCTGAACTTCATGTTTTATCCTCTCGGACGCCTTTAAAAGTCGTAACACTGATTTAACACTAAAACTTCATATACGCCAAGACAAATAAATAAACACAAACTCCTCGTTTTGTTAAGTTTCTGCTTATTTCAAACAGTTTGAGTTTTTTTTTACTAATATCTGAAAAAAGAGACATAAAAACATGTTTTCTATAGTTACATCTAATCTGACAATATTGTTCTATAATTAAAATAGTTTCGAGACTAAACTAAAGCCAGCCGGAACACAAAAAGATAAAATTATGAAAAATTAGTTTGGATTTCTAAAAAGGCATCAAGTGATTAAAACTCGGAGCACAAACTAAACGAACGATTAAAATACTGTAAAAGATTTTTTCTTTGGAGCCGGGAGTCAGAACTTCTGCCTGAACGTGACGTCCCCTTTCCTCTGACGCTCTGTCGGCCATTTTGATTTCCAGAGGTTTTACTGTCTAATAAAGTTAGCAGCAGCGTTCGCCAGGGGTCAGAGGTCAGATATTGTTTCGGTGTAAACAGGAAGTGAGTGACGGGTTCAGGAACCGTCTAAAATCAGACTAATGTTTTTTCATGAACAGATTTCTCCTAAATAATTTTAAACATTTATAAATTAAATTCTTGAACATTATTCTGTTTAAAAATTTTAACGCTTTTGACCCAAACTTTCAGATTTTGTTTCTTTCCTCTGATGATTTTTGAGCAGCTTTAGAACCTAAATGTCATTCGTTCAGTTTAAAGTTTGATTTATTTATTTGCACGTCTGCAGATGATGCTTACGGGTTTTTACGTGTTTAGTGAAGAACGGTCTCATTTTTCATCATCACTGAACTCAAACGATGATCAAACAGAACGATGAACGAACAAACTGGACTTTTGATTTTTAAAACTCTCGTATTTGGACCCGTGACCCCCGGGGTGAACTTGTCTGATCAAAGTGTCCAAAACGAATTCACTTTTTACAAAATGGCCGACAGTTTTTGAGTTCTGACACGATCTTTCTGGTCTGGCTGGGAAATCATCCAGATTATTTTATTAAACCTAAAATCCTCAATACAAGCCCAGAAACAACTTTTTATTTAAAACACCTAAATGCTTGTCGGGGGGGGGGGGGGGGGGGGAGGCGCAGCGACAGATCTGTGGGACGTTTGTCAGAAGAACGTTTCGTCCCTCGGCCCCCGCAGGAGGAGACAGCCGACTGCGGGGGCCGAGGGACGAAACGTTTCCATCAACGTCAGTAAAAACGAGTTCCAGCGGAGGAACGTCGGAGTTTATTGAAGGAAAAGCCTCGATTCTGGTCGAGCAGCTCGTCTCTTAAAAACACGGAAGAGTACAAAAACAAAAACATCTGAAGTGCAAACAAGAAAAGTCTAGAGACCAAACGTTGCGTTGCCAGATGATTATTTCAGGTAAATAAATAAACACAAACTGATGATTAAAAATAAAGTTTTACTTCGGAGGACCAGCCCCGACGTTCCGACCATCTCTTCCTGTTTTGGTCCCGGCAGCCAAAGAACCGACGGTTGTTTTGTTTTTACTCTACAGAAACAGATGCTTGAAGGACAGCTCTGTGTGTGTGTGTGTGTGTGCGTGTGCGTAGCTTGCAGATCTTCAGATGCTGTTCAGGGATCCAGAAACTGAACTGTGTTGAGACGAGTCTGAGACGGAACCATCTGAGGAACAAAAACACAGACGAGCGTTAAACGTGAAACATTTGGAGCTTTTCTCATTTAAAAGTTTAATTTCTGCGGCTGCCACCTGGTGGCAGGACGCAGCCGTTACAGTTGTTGACTGATGAACTAAAGACCAGAATCTCACTGACCCGGGACCAGATGGAGACCAGTTTTTGAACAGCACTCTTGGTTACCGGTCCAAGAGGCTTTGGGCGTCCCGGGTGTGAACCCCCTGAGGTTCAGGTGGTACCTCGGAGAGGTTGCCAGGGGCTCTCCAAAGTGTCTCGAAGTGAGACCCCCGTGGACACTTCAGCCTTTTAGCTTGAATTTTTATATTTCAATTCATAAACGCGTCGGTAACCCCAGAGGGAAGTTAAATGTTGCTGTCGCTCATCCTCCTGGTTCCATTCAGGAGCTGTTCAGATGCTGATGCTGTGGGCAGGAAGGAGCTCTTGGAGCGTCCGTCTTACAGCAGATCTGGAGACGCCTCTGACTGAAGACTGTTGTTGTGGGACAGTCTGATGAAGTCTGATGACGTCGTCCCTGCTAAAGTGGACCCCAGTACAAGAAGTCTTAAACACGGGGGCGGCTGCCGAGCCAAGGTCGTCTTTAAAAGAACGTGCGCAGCCAGGAACACGGATTTAGAAGACGTGCGCGCTAAAATAAACCGTGACTTTCAAAATCTGGGCACTCAAAGATGCGACAGCACAGCTCGCTGGTCTCAAACAGACTCCAGCTGATGGTTCGCTTGTTTTTTAGCTACTTTCTTCCCTCCAGTCTCCAACAGCCGCAGCCGAGTGAGAAAGCAGCTTTAGCTCGTCAGAGCGAGACGACTCGAGGACGGTTTGAACGAAACTGTGACTGAAGACAACAGAAGTGTGAGCTGTGGTCAAACCGAGACCCAATTAAAAAATCTCAGAAGCCGTTGACAGAATGCTGCACAACATTTGAAGTAACTTCCAACAACTCGTGTCTCCAACCAGCCGAGGACAGAGACTCAGAACATGCAGTTCACGTCGTCTTCATAAAAAAATACTCATTTCTAGGATGTTGGTGGTAAAGTGATGATTTTTGAATTTTAAATACATTTTTCCAGACAGCACATGGAGCAGGAGCGCAGAGCGAGAGTAATAAACGTGAACGTTGTTCTCACCGTGGACGGAGACGACCGTGTGCGAGCGAGCGTGGGGGGGGATGAGGATCGAGTTCAGCTGAGGCTGGATGGAGAGTTCTGCAGGACAAACAAAAACTAAACTAAATAATCACAGACACAACCCTGAACACGTGGCTGCAGCTGGAACAATCCGGTGATGTGTGCGGTGCTGATCTTGGACCCGGTTCTGTTTGGGCCTACCTGTGGTGCTGAAGTTGAAGAGCATCGGCAGCTCCCGGCCGCTCGGCAGCCGCGCGTTCGGCTGGCGCAGCTCGTCGAACAAGTTGTGCGCGCAGGCCTCTAAGGGCGAGAGGCGCGAGGCGGGCGTGTACTCCAGCAGCCGCGAGCAGAGAGCGATGGCCTCCGGGGGGGTCCGAGGTTTGAACACCTGGAGGGCACGAAGAGTTCGGGTCAGACGGGTCCGACCCAAAAGGTTCCCACCAAAACAACCGTAAAAAGAAAAGTTCCTTCTGTTTGTGTCTAAAGCTGCTGATCCAAACATTCAACCAACAGTTCAGATGCTTTGAAGGGGGTTGTGAGCAGTTACTATCTTACCTGCTGCAGATAGCTCTTGAACAACCTGTCTGACGGGACTGAGGAGCTAACGGCTAGTCTGAACTGAAAACAACTCCAACATTGTAATGATAATTAAAAAAACTTCTACTTTGCGTTACATTTCCTCACATTTATCCAAATAAAACTATATTAACATCTGCAAACCCAAAGATCATCAGCAGCTGGCTGTAGCACTTCCTGCTGGATTCCCACAGCTTTTAAAACCAGAGTCAAAGTTTATATTTAGAGTTTGAGTGATCCACTTTGGTCTTTGCTCCCTCAGACTTGGCGTTAACTCGCCTTGAATTAAACTACGTTTCACCAAACTGAAGTCAAAGAGATATCTACAACAGGTAAGATATTAATTACTTACAACTCCACTTTAAACAACTGAACGATCACCGTAAGTGTAAAACTAAAAATAAATAAATAATTAAATTACATTTAATCAAATAAAATGCTAGTAGCCGGCAGGCGCCTAGTATCTATAAGAACTCTTGTTTTCTTTACAAAACAGGATTAATTACACTGTAGTAAAAATTACAATATACAAATATTAAACAACGTTTAGGAAGATTTCACCTCAGAACAAGTTTTACAAAACAAACCGTATTTCCAAGCCCAGAGTTAACTGAATAAAAATTAACTGCAGTTTTTTTAAACAGAAAGAAGTTTAAGTCAGAATACTCAGATTACTCACGTTTTGATTAAAGTCTCAAACGATACATAAAAATACAAACATTAAGTCGTTTGTTTATTTTGATTTTGGTGGGTTTAAATTTTTGACCACGAGAACTTTACATCATTTTACCAGATTTATATACGGTTCTTAGATTTATAGTTTTTTGTATCCTTGATAATAAAAAAACCTTTTCTCAAACACAGAAAAGAGTTTGAGTCACAAACTCTGAAACTTTTTGATGTTAATTATTTTAGATAAAGAAAAAAGTTTTTATTAATTCTGTTTATTTTCTTAATTATTGAAGTTAAAATAAAAAGACTTTTGTTTTTGTCCCGTCATAATTACTTAACAACGTTTAGTGATTTTCATCCTCGGGTGTTTCTTCACCTTCGTCCATGGATGAGCTTTGATCTGTGGGAACTTGAACTCTGTGTAGTTCGGGTTCATCTCTCGGATTTGTTCCCTCGTCGGCGTTCCCAGTACCTGGAAACAAATTAAACTTAGTTAAACGAACGTTAATGTCGCTGCGCAGGAGCCGTAAGTTCCCAGACTCACTTTGATGATCTCGACCAACTGGTCGACGCCGCTGTCTCCGGGGAAAATGGGCTGACCGAGCAGCAGCTCCGCCAGAACGCAGCCCGCCGACCAGATGTCGATGTTGGCCGTGTAGTCCGTGGCCCCGAATATGAGCTCGGGGGCGCGATAATACCGTGAGCAGATGTACGACACGTTGGGCTCGCCGCGGACCAGCTGCTTGGCGCTGAAGGAGACGCAGGAAGTCACAAGAAAATGGCGCCGATCAGAGAACAACATGGAAAAATCAACCAAGTCACGGTGATAAACGTGAAAGCTGATCTTAACGCGTGAATTAATATCTGGACTTTTTGAAGGTTCTCGCCCAGTTTTAGATGAAAACACCTCCTCGACGTCGACAACGTTTGTTAACGGAAAAGAGTTAAAAAGTTTAACGCCCGTTCGCTCCGATGGACGAATTTAAAGGAAACTCAAACCGACCCAACGTCTAGAACTGATCGTGTTTGGAGTCAGCTCCATTCAAGATGGCCGCCACAGAGGCTCAACCTGGGCGAACGGAAAAACGCCTCGGCCAGTTTGACAGACGGGGTGGTGGTAGCTGAGAGTCCTCTCCAACATGTACTCTGATCACATCGGTCTCTGAAACACTGACGATCCGCAGTCGCTCAAAGAATGTCGGTTTTATCACGTAACTTCACGACAAGGCGATAAACAATAAATCAATTAATCACACGATGAATGAAAATTATTAACCTCATTGTCATTTATCGACTTTATTGTTTCTTCGTGTCTCTCTCGTTCTACCGAAGACACTGGATGACAAAAAGCTCAACTCTGGTGCTCCTCACCAACTCCTCCCTTTCTCTTTTCTCTTTAAAATCTGTTTAAACGATCAAAATTCACGTTTTTGGATCGTTAAAAGCAGCTAAGCTGAGAAGCTACGAGCTAACAGGCCGACCTCGGGGGGGAAAACCTCCGTCTTGTCGAAGCTCCAACATTCACGGTTGAAACTCGTGCCTTCGTGTAAAAAGTTGTTTTTCTCTGCAAAAAGAAGCTGAGAACTTGTTTAATGATTTTTGATTAAAATCTTTGTGTGAAAAATGCTAAAGAGCTCAAACCACACCAAGCGCCCACCATTTTGAAAACCGGAGACAGCTCATGTCATGTCGAGGGGCCTCCCTCCCATTTTTCTTAAACACGCTGCTCGCTCCCTCACTATCCATCCTTCGGCTCAAACAGTCTTATACTGCCATCTGGTGGTCTAAAAAAGGTACCACACTCAAAACAAATTAAACATTTCTTCTTAAATTTGACGATAATTACTAATTACCATCAAATTTAAAACGATATTATCGTATATTGCAATATTTTCTGAGACAATTAATCGCCCAGCAAAATTTGTTACCGGGACAGACATCAAGAGATCTTCAGGACAAGACTCCGCTGCTACACCTCCAGGATGAGAGGCGCTCGTTTAAAGACTAAAACTGTCACGTTGTGGACAGAGAACGCTGATGATTTGAGGGGGGGGGGGGGGGGTGAAGTTCGGGGCCGAGATGGTGCAGGGGCAGGACAGCCGACTCGGGACCCAAAGGACCCGGGTTCGATCCCCAGTTATTGAACATCTCGTGGTGTCTCTGAGCAGGACACCTTATCCCCAGTTGCTCCCTGGGCGCCAACATAGCTACTCGCTGCTCCACCTGGTGGGGGCTGGGTTAAATGTAGAGAACCAATCTCACTATTGTATGGGAACATACAATGATGACCACATATCACATTATTATTAAAATATTTAAATCCAATGAGAAACCCTTAAACGGAGCCGGAGGTCGTCTCAGGCTCAGTTTACACATGAACAATCTGTGGACGAGCCAACGGTGACACGGTGGTGCTGCGTTCGCAGTTTGCTGTAGTTTCCAGTGTCGAGCATGAAAACAGTTGCATCCAAAATGGTGAAAACGCCGCGGTTTAGGCCGAGGATGTCGAGTCCCTCCAACACCATGAAAACGTCTGAGCAGCACAAACAGCACTCTGCCATTTTTACTGTTCGCAAAAAAAAACCAACTATTGTGGTGCACGCTCGATTTCACACCGCTGATGTTCCGAAACCCTCCGCTCGAACGCCTGGATTCTGAGACAAAGCTCGGCCGAGGCCTCGTGTCGAGAACAAAGTTACTATGAAAACAAAATGATGCTACTTTCATTACGCAGCTACGCCAATGAAAGACAATTTCTCGACTGCAAACGTCAAATTAAACGACCTTCAAAGCCTCCATGTCAGAAAATTAAACGACCTTCAAAACCTCCATTTCAGAAAATTAAACGACCTTCAAAGCCTCCATGTCAGAGACAACGAGCGCAGTCGTTCTGTGCACGAACGGCTGAAACTCGTCAGAAAAGCTGCGGTTTTACTTAAAAAGTGCGACGTGTAAACTGGGCCCGAGAAACTCCCCGAACAGGAAGCAGAATTCATTCGTTCATTCAACCTTTATTTATACACATGTCTTGAACTTCGAGTAGTTTCTTTATTTCTCATGTCCTGGACAAGCTGCGTTATTTCATCACCTGTCCTGTGTCAAAGGTGAATAAATATTTTAAAATAGATAGCATGCTAACTAGCGACCGTTTATTACACAACACTCTCAAAAGAAGCAAAGTTAAAAACAAAACAAACGTACGGACGCAGAACGTTACACTCTCAGAAAGCAGTTTAAAACTTTTTGTTGAAGGGGGCGTGGCCGTTAGAAACAGGAAGTGACGCGCCGTGGCTCACCTGCCGAAGTCGCACAGCTTCAGGACGGCGGTTTCTGGGTCGACCAGCAGGTTCTGGGGCTTGATGTCTCTGTGGCAGACGCCCTGGGAATGGATGTACGCCAGGCTGCGAAACAGCTGGTACATGTACACCTGAGGAGGTGCAAACGCACGAGGAATGAAACGATGCCCTTCGACGACTCGGAAACGTCTCGGCAAAGACAGAGTTACCTTCACATAAATAATAGGAATGATGCTCTTGGCCTTGTTAAAATGCCTGGCAACCCTGTAGACCGTCTCGGGGACAAAGTCCAGGACCAGGTTGAGGTACACCTCGTCTTTCTGCTCGGGACAGAAAACAACAGGAAGCTGAGATTCACGTTCACTGATTCCAGACGAGCTCGTTTGCATCGCGTCGTTCTCAGTAAGTTTCTACATTAGAAGCGTCTATTTTTACTAATCCAAGAAACGAGCTGCTTCCTCCTTTTAGCGCATTTCTGAAAGCTGCGATGCGTGATCTCACACCTACACGAGCACATCGCTTCTTCAAGTAAGAACCAAACTGTGAAGTAAGGGTGTGAAATTCTGAGAAGCTAAATACTTTTTCTGTCCAGGTTTTTTTAAACAAATGCAGAAAACCTCATTTAATTTATTTTAACCTGCTTTCTTTAAGGCATGAAAACGTTTTATTTGATCACCTTCTCGCCACTGGAGTAGAAGAAATAACGCAGTCGAACAATGTTGCAGTGGTCCAGCTTCCTCATGATCTGTAGTTCCCGGTTCTGTAAAACCAGGAAGACACAAGTCCGGCTTCAGCAGCAAAAACTAGGACAAAAATACATTAAAGGATGAAAAGACTGACATGATATTTACTGCTATCAGCCGCACCTTAAACCTCTTATCCTGCAGAACCTTCTTAATGGCCACCATCTCCGAGGTGTCGATGAGCCGGGCCTGGTACACGACACCAAACGACCCGTTGCCGATGACCTGCGGGGTTTGACGCCAAAACAAACCAGTCAAATATGAAGCGTTCCCAGTTTGAAGCCAGGCGGCTTCGTTAAAGAAACAGATTCAGCTCTTTGGATGCAGATTTTACTTTAAACTAATCTGAAAAGTGACACGTTGTTGTGTTTTTATCCCTTAAAATTGTTTGCAGCGTTTGTCGGCGTTACACGATGTACCGCCAACAAACGCTGCATCGAGTATAATTTTATTATTTTTATTTTAAATCTGCGCTGCGAGAGACGACATTAGGATATGATCCAGACCCAGTACTTATAAAATGAAGTACAACACATTTCTAGTATTTACTCCATCGTCTTCCGCTCGTCTGTGGTCGGGCTGCAGAGGCCACAGGTCCAGGAGAGAAACTGAGCCCCCCCCAGAGGCACCAACCAGCTCCACCTGGTGGACCCCAAACTGTTCCCAGACCAGAGAGGATCAGGTGAACCTCCTCAACGGACTCCTTTTGAAGCGAAGGAGCAGCCACTCTACTCTGAGCTCCCCCTGGATGGAGCTCCTCACCCCGTCTCTTAAGGTTGAGCCCCCACCCCTACAAAGGAAGCTCACTTCAGTCATCTGTATCCAGATCTGGTTCTTTCAGTCATGATCCAAACCTCATGCTCACAGGTGAGGGTCGGAACATCGACGGACCAGTAAACCCAGAGCTTTGCTTTTCGACGCAACTCTTCTTCTTCACTGTGACTGACCAAAGCAACACCCTCATTATTAGGGTTGGGCATCGTTTGAACGGTTCCGATTCTTTTTAGAGGCGGGGTTTAAAAAAAAAAAAGTCACATGTTACCGAGGCCCTGATTCGTTGCTCCATCTCCCGTTCCATCCTCCAGGAACAAGAGGTCTGGATACCTGAACTCTACCTGAGGTGAGAATACTCTAGTACTAGACAGTAATACCAGTACTTCCCTCAGACAGTTCAGGTATCTGGACCTCTTGTTAGGTAAGGAGGCAAGTATTACTATGTAGTAATGAAGTATCTAGTATTTACTTTAGATTTAAATTTTTAAGTATAATTTAGAACACCTCCAAATGATGAATGTGCAGCATATCGTTATGTAACTCCGTGTTATTTTATAAACCTGACTACAACAAAATTAGTTCATATTTGTCCACAGTTTGGTTAAAATGTTTAAAAAGAGCGTGACCTGCCACAATAATTAAATATTCAGTCTTCTTAATCTGCTGCTTATACTTTGCAGATTAACGTCTTATTTACCGTCCTGACGTTGGACACGTGTACTTCTCATGTGCACAGGTGATTGCTCACCTTGATGTCAGTGTAGGACACTTCCTGTGGGCGGTCCGGTCCCTGACCGGGCGTGGCTACGACCGTGGTCACCTTCCCACCGTCTCCTACAAAACAAACAGGAAAAGACCAAAGATTCAGAAAACACGCAGACTGTGCTCCAACTCAACGAGTTTCAAAAGTGTTTTAAAAAATGTACATTAAGAAAAAAAACATTTAAGTCAAACGTCTTCCGCAACACCCGTCCCGAACCATTTCGACTCTGTTCGTTTGAATGTTCAGGTTAAAAATAAACCTGCGAGTGGTTTTCAACTTGACAAAAGCCTCCGAGGAAAGAGGGAAAGCTTCTTCAAGAACGACTAATTGAACTGGGAAAGGCCCAGAAAGAGGCCGCCCGTCGTCCGAGGAGCTGCTGCCCGTTGAAAAGCAAAAACTAAACCGATAATCAACTTTACTGCTGGGTTATTTCTGAAAACTGATCATCTCAACGTCGTCTTGTCCACCGTGCTGATAACAAGCCAATAAATTGTGTGTACATGTTTTTTACTTTTACAGTTTAGTTGATTTTTCAGGCCAATTAAACACAGAAGCAACAATTACCTGTGACTTGTTAAAAACATTAAATTGTGTAATTAGTCACAATTTTTAACTTGGAATCAAATTAAGTCGTATGTTAGCATACATACATTCACTGTGAATAAATTAGGGCAGTCCTGCAAACGACAGGACTTTTATTTTGTAACGTAGACGTGTCTAAATTATGTAAAATTTGATCACAGTTTATTCTTTATTGGGTCTCTAATCGGTCAGTTTGGATTTAAGAACCTTCCAAAAGCAAACGTCTCACTTGGATGTGACTGCTCGAGACTCGTTTGTGTCAAAACAAACAAACAAACAAACAAACAACTCCATCTTTCTGGATCCACAAAAACACTGAGATACATTTTCTTTTGAACTAAGTGACTCAAACGACGACAGAGACCCCTCGAACGGTTCAAGACATTTTGAAGACTCTTCCACCGAAGCTGTTCGCCAACAAGTTGCAGCTCGGTGGGACCTGACCCCGAAGCCCGAACGTCGCCGGACCGGGACCGTCCAGGACCGGGACCGTCCAGGACCAGCTGGAGACACTAAAATACAATAAGGTGCAAATTCTCACTTGGAATCAGGCTGAATCGGTACCGCTTTGTATATGGAAATAAATTGTGACATTGACCGTTCCTTGAACTGAGATTTTAAGAAATTCTGTTGCAATTTAATCACAAAGTGTTTTTTTTTTTTTTTAAGAATAAAAAAGGAGCCTATCCAATTAAAAAATGACTTAAAATTGTTTTGGACAAGGATCTCGGCAGCGTCTCACAGAAAAGACGAGCACAATTCAACATGTGCTTCCTGTTTATTAGAAGTTTATTTCAAAAGTGACTTTCCATTTGTTAATGTGAACTTCTCCCCCTCTGCGTGTCAACGGGGACAGTGACGATGTTTTCGTCCAGATCCTGGACCTGGTCCACCGGCGGTGAATAATGGAACCGCTGCTCGGACGGTGCGGCAGCCGGCTGAGTAATTATACAACAATGTTGTATAATTTTCTGATTTATGGCCGTCAGACCCATTTCCTTTCTGCTGGGAGACAAAATCCTGACATTTAACTGAAGCGAGGAGCTAATAATTTACAGGCCTGATTCGTTCTCAGCTCGTGGTTTCATCGGAACAAAGGCCGACACGTCTGAAAAAGGAAAAGCACGATGGAGTGAATTTATCATATCAGCTACTTTAAACCTGCTTTTTACAAATGCTGGATCTGTGATTTTCCCAATTTTACAACGAAAATGATGAGAAAAGGACGAAGTTTGAGCCTTTTTGGTTGAACCTTCCAACACTGAGATCTCAAATAATATTTTAACGCTTAAATTATACGTTGAGGTTGACCCTCAGCTACTAACACACCAAACTTTAGCTCATTAGCTGTAAAACTGAGTTGTAACCATGTTAGTGTCACTTAGCTGTGGCAGCCATCTTGAACGAGGTCGACTACAGAAGCCAACAGCTGTAAACGCACATCCAGCGTTGAGCTTCATTAAAATCCTTCCACTCTTGTAGATTTTGCTAACACAGTCGCCTTAATGTTTAACATTGCCATGATTAAGACATTTTTCACTAATAAGTGCACTTTGAAACAAGAGATTGAAGTTCTTCACTTTTTTTAAATCAACAAATTATCTTCCGGATCCAGAGTTGACAGTGTAATAATTTAAAATATGTAAGATCGTGTGGCATGGAAACTATTTCAGAGTTTAAAATTGAGGGGAAACCCCCAGCAATCAGTCAAAAGAGACGATATTTAGATTTGAAGGGCCTCCAGCGGTGTTTGCAGAAGATGAGACACCAGAGCTTTGAACTGGAGATGACCTCCCATCAGGGGTCCAATATCAGGAGACACACCAGTGCCTGTAGTGGAAAATAAGGCAGCATGGATGAACACCTGACACCAGAGTGATGGAGGGGGGACCCTGCTTCTGCTTCTGGAGGAGAAACACTGTGGTACCCACGAGTTTCTCCCAGCATCACTTCCATCCCTCCTGCTGCCGAGCCTTCGTCCCACAGGTGACCTTGGTGGACCGGCTTCGTCTCTCCCTGACCCAACCTCCAGACGAGCCAGACCAGACCCACAAAAAGCCCCTGGACCAGCTGGGTCCGAGTGATCCGAGTGAGCCTCCAACAGCCCGTTTTTCTGCCCAGTCACAGTCACTGACCCCCCAGCCTCGTTAACGCTTAAAAATCAAGTGTTCAGCCAGTGGTTGCGATCCTGGGCAGGGGGTTGGTTTCACACCAGATTCCATCCTTCAGTCGGAGTGAAACCAGAACAAAACGAGATGCTGACGAGGGGCTGGTTCGTTAGCATCCAGCCCGAAACGTCGACTCTTCACCCGGGTGAAACGCATGAAACCGTCCGGTCATTTAAGACGAAAACAGGTCAGTGAATTAACAATACAAACAGGTTTTGAGTTAAAAAGTAGTCGCGACTGATAAATAATAAAAGAAACTTACTGGCAAGCTTGAGGTTGGAGCATCCTGACGAGCTACTGCCGGAGGCCTGCGCGACCCCGGACTTTCCTGTGCTGCTCCCCACGGCAGCGGCTGATCCGGCGGGCGCTGCGACGGCTCCTGGAACACCTGGCGGCTCAGCAAACGAGCTGGTCCTGGGCCGCCCGCTGCCGCTCATATCTCTGAGCAGAGGTCAGGGTTATACGTTCCCTCTCCTACCGTTTTTTCGCTAAGCGACTAATAATTATGAATATCCGGCGAGGAGTAATTTCGGAGAGTTACGCGGTTAATCAGCGCTGACGCCGCCGTCGCCGGCTGCCTGTCTGGGCTCTTCAAGCTGTTGCTAGACACCTAGAAACAGGGCGGTCGCAAGGCCGCCTGGGAAATGTAGTTTGAAGATGCTGTTGCCTAGATTAGCTGCTCTGGCGTGTACTAATCAAAACAACTACAACTTTGAACTAATTAGGAGGCGCGAGTTAAAATAACACCAGCCACTGTTCATAAATATAGAAAGTATATAAAATATTACAGTTAATATTCAACACTTATTCTACTTTTTGAGGGTCAAGCTGCACATTTACTCACCTTTTTGGTGCATAATATAAAAAAAACTTACTATGCAGCAAAAAGATTATGCTTAATGCTGCATAATAGTTTTTTTTTTAGCTTCAAATCCTACTTTTGCAGTTTGTTTTAGGTACAATATTGTTATTTTTTGCGTTTGATTAAATTTCTCTCTTGCCTTTGAAAACGCAACAAATGAAAGTACGTGTCAAGGCCTTCTGTGGGATTCAGGTGTGCTGGCAGTTTCATCATATACATCATATACATATCATCATATCATCATATACATTTCATCATATACATCATATACATATAATATCATCATATACATCATATACATATCATCATATCATCATATACATCATATACATTTCATCATATCATCATATACATTTCATCATATACATCATATACATATAATATCATCATATACATCATATACATATCATATACATTTCATCATATACATATACATCATATACATTATATACATATCATATACATTTCATCATATCAGGCTGTTTGACCTTCCAGCCAACATGAGCTCAATCTGAACACTGATGTGGCAGATGAAGGCCGGGTGGAGATGCACACACTGTTCCAGGGATTTAGGGGATTTATAATTATTAAGTATACATTTGTTTAAAGGTTTCTGCATCAGCTCATCTTTCAGTTGTTGCTATTTCACTCTGGTTATTTGTCTTTATGTCTTTTACGATCCAACTACCGGTACTTACAGCATGATTTGTGTTTTGTTTATTTTTAGCTTTTCATTTATCCACACGTCGTTTGTTCCGTTGACGCCTATGGCTTTCAGTTTTTATAGCTTTTTGTAATTTAAATTTTTTTAAACTTTATTCACAATTTCTTGCCCAGAGAAATAAAAAGAGAATTAAAACATTGTTTTTTTTTTTTATTGTTTCAGCAAACTGTTTCTATTTATGTCTGCATGTGCAGCTTTTATTTTTTTAGCTACTAATCTGCTCCTTTTAGCTAGTATTGTACTACTTTTAGCTTTTGATACTTTATTTTTATGCAAACTTTTACCACTTTTAACTAGCCTTTTAGTTTGCCTTTCACCATTAGCTTTTAGCCAATCTGTTGCTAAAAAATGTTGGATTATATACCTGGATTATTGAGCATGGACTTTGTTGTTCAATCTGTTGCTACTTTTGGCTTTTCATACTTTGTTTTTACCCAAACTTTTAGCTTTTTGCTAACATTTCTCTACTTTTCTAGCTATACTTTTGAAACTTCTAGCTTATCTCTTGCTGTATTTTGTCTGTTTAACCAAACCTTCACTACTTTGGCCAATTTTTCACTTTTAGCTTTCTCCTAGCTTTTCACTACTTTTAGCTTTCAGCTAGCTTTTTGCTACTTTTAGCTTCTAGCAAGCTTTTTTAATAGCTTCTTTTGCTACTTCTTTAAACTAGATGGGCAAATGTTGGTGTTTAGCTAGTGTTCGAGTCAGTTTCAGCTTCTTTAGAAACTTCAGCGAAGTCGTTCATCGTCACTGGATTTCCACAGAAATTGTTTTTGATATTTTTGTGCACCTGCACACATTCTGGCTGCTCAAAGAAAAAAATAAATAAAAAATAAGACAACACAAATTTCTGTGTTAGCTTTTTAATATTTTCAATATTTATTTTTTTAAATTTTTTGTTTAGAAATATTGCACATGGTCAACATGCCTGCTTTATGAGATAACACTCACCTCGCTCATCTTAAAACTCCTTCTCCAAAGGACATTTTCTCTTATAAGCACAATCATACAGTGTACACGCATACATACGTGTGTGAGAGCACATAGGTCTGTGTGGGCGTGTGCGAGTGTGCATGTGATTGCACATGCATGCAGGTCGACACTTAAACAGCCCTAAAGAACCCCGAAGCGACGTGAACCGATAGTCGTTTGTTACCTGTACTTGCGTGTGCGTTACTCCTGAATAGCTCGCTGCGTGTTTTTATTTCTCCTGAATAAACAGAGTTCGTTAACAGTCTGGATGGCTGACAAAAATAGTCACGGTGACTATAAAAATACTGCCTCTTGAGTAGCATGAAAAATATATTATGAATAATGTTGCTGAGTGAAAGGAGGTTAACAAACTGCGTGCATGTGCCAAAACATACACACACCCAAACACAGACTTAATGCACCAAATATGGAAATACCTGTGTTTATATATTTATATATATATTTAAATCACACATCCAATTGTATACAGAGAAATAAGAGATACCCATAATAATAACTATACCCCCACTCTTCACCGAAGAAGCAAAGAGCCAAAAAAGTGCTATTTGAAATTTCTCTTTGACGTTTAGTAAGTTATACTCTCCATCTCTTCAACAACGACGATATTTGTGATTTTTTTTTTCTTTTTCAACCATAACGATCGCATCAACTCACTCCTCTCACCGACTGACTGAATTCATCATCTATGGCACAGAGCCTTTGCCCCAAAATAAAAAAACAGTGAAACAGCCCACCCACTTCTAAATAAAATTAAATAAAATAAAAGTCCTATTGCACCATTTGATGGGAAAGGATAAAGTGTCGAGACGAGAGGGAGGAGGGGGAGGGCTCCGGATCCGGAAACTGCCCTCCAGTGCTGGTCTAGGATCTGCTTTCCCTGAACGAACCCTAACCAGAACCATCCTGAGCTACATAGCGCTTGACCCGGGGACCAGTGCTTAAGGGCACTTTCTAACAACGCTTTGAAGGGGTGAGGAGAGGGCGGGAGGAGGGGGGGAGGACAAGTGGAAGAAAGAGAAATGTGGTTACGGAACTACTAAAACAATCTCTAAAAACAATACTTTCCTGATTGAACTTGTGGCGATCCCCGAACAAGACGGGACGCACAAATTGTGCAAACACCTGATATATTTTTACATTAAAAAAAGTCCCCCCCCCCACTCTCCACATCTTCTGCATCTGGTGAGAAACCTTAGAGGAGAGTAGAAAAGAGGGATGTGGGAGGGCACAGGCTGATTTTTATCCCCTTCTTTGTCCAGAGTCTTTTCTTTTTAATTGTCATTGTTGTGATTTTAGTTTTTTATGCTGGAGAAGAAACACGATAGAGCCACGAGAGAAAAACAGGCCACGGTAAAACTGGTTATTTCCACGGCAACAATAACAAGAGAAAGCAACATCATATTCATTTAGAGTTCAGGAGGTGTGTGGGGGGGGGGGAGAAGCTTGGTGAAGATTCTGCTCCTCAGTGTTTAGCCTGTTGACTGAACGGTCCAGTTTCGTCCTCCATTATTTGATTCTCTTCTCTCAGCGTCGAGTTTAATTCTTCAAAGCCTCACAACCAGAAGTCTCTTTACATGATCTCTTTACGGTGCATGTTCGCAGCTTGTTTCTGTTTGGGGAGGGGTGGGAGGGTAAAAGAGACCCCAACAGACACTCGATAAGCTCCTGCCAGTTCGCTCTGTCCTGACGGCGACGACTGACGGTGCAAAGATTGGTCACTGCATCTCGACTCTTCCTCTTCTCACTACAATCAGTAGAAACTGTGCAGGCCCATGGCTTCGTCACGCTGCGAGTGCGTGTGTGCGTGTGTGTGTATGCGCCGATTGTCCTGCAGCATCGAGGGGCTGTGGAATATCAGTGGAGGTCGTTGTGTTTGCTGCCCGACCACGGTGCTGAGGGGTGGAGGGGCAGGGAGGAGGTCCGTTAATGGCAGCTGAGGGGTGAAGTGGCTGGTTGGCAGCAGCAGCTGCATCTGCACGATAAGTGACGAAGTGCCTTCGCGTGTCACGGTCCTCGGGACAACCGAGAGTAACAGTCTGATTTGGTACAGGTGTGCGCGTGGGATCGCACCAGAACGTGCGCCTCACGTGCGCGGGTGTGCGTCAGGGTTAGGCGAGAGGCTAAAAGTTCGACCGGCGGTGAATGTGCAGCTGTGGGTGGACGTGAACTCCGAACATGACGTCGTTGTTGCACCGTCGCTTCGCGTTTTATGAAAGTTGGAACCTGCGGATTAAAAAACGTCTTTAAACGAGTTCTTTTCTTGGTTGGTGGAGGCTCTTATTTTATAAGAACGTTAAAAATTAAAGCAGCACGTCTTCTCATTCACAGCTGAGGGAGGTTCGATTCCGCAGAGTCTTTTTGATTCAGAACTGGAGAGTCTGGAGTTCGAAGCTTTAAACTGCATCAAGGATGATGCTCCGTCACATGAACGCCTTCATGCAGGTAAACAAACGCCTCTCTGCTGCGCCGGGCCGAAGACGACCCCGATGACCCTCAGCAGGGAGGGCAGGGAGGGCATCCAGCTGCTCGTTTTCTTGACGAGCTGCGGTGCAAATGGGCCGTGAGCGTGCACGGCTTTGTTTAGGATAAAAGCTTTGCTAAAAGAATAACGTGATAAAACTGGGTTTAATGCCTCGTGATGAACGGGCTCCGGGGGGCGCGGGAGGACCAGAAACTTTTACTGATAATAATAATATAATTAAAACAAGTTGTTTGGTGTAAGTTGGTAGGACAGTCTGTTTAAAAGCCGATGGATGATTGGGAAACGATCGCTAATCCGTCAAGAGAAACTCTCCGCCGCTCACCGAAGCTTCAGTTTGTCGAATTTTTACAAAAAATTGTGAGTCGTTTTATTTTCAGTTTAAAAAAAATGTATAAACTGAGCGATAGGGTGAATTTTAATATAATATTTTACATCCTGATGCACGCTCAATAATCCAGGCAGAAAAATCTAACAGTCCAGATGACCTTTAACCATTTGACCTTTGACCATTAATTTATCTATTCACACTTAAATTCTACGTCTTGGTCGATCTTCAATTGATCCCAGAGACCATATTTAGAATTAAGAGCCTTGAAGAAGTTAAACATCAAAAGATAAAACTTTGTTTTCTTTGTTCTGGACGCAGCTGCTCGTTCAGACTTTTTTTAAAACGAATATTTCTCTTAAAATATGTTTATCTACATTTTGTCATTTTTAAAATGATGATAGGATTAATATTAGAAATAAATAAATCACGCCGGCCTTGCTGTGTAAGGTGCGCTCCCACAGCCGGTCAGTCAGCAGGCACTGGACCGGACTGGATCGGACTGGACCGGACGTTCAAGGCTGCTGGAAATAAACGAGGATTTAACACAATCGCGTGTTTTAACGTGTTCGAGTTCAAAGGGTCCGAAGAAATGAGCAAAATATAAAATATTATCCTTAAAGTCAAACGTTCACCTGATTGTATCCAATCACTGATGGTCGACATATTTGTCCAACCGCCCAACCCTGTGTGTGTGTGTGTGCGCGCGCGTGTGCGTGCGTGTGTACCAGGGAGACAGAGTGTGGACCACAGTTTGTGTCTCGAACTACAACGTGCTCAAACTGCAGACCTGGGCAGGGTTTTCCACTAAAACATTCAGGGTTGTTGGAAAATAAAACTACAAGAAGCACTTGACTCATCATGACTCGCATGTGATGGACACTCAGAGGTCTGGTGGACAATCGAAGAACATCTTGAGGAGTTTCAATCGTCTCGTCTCTTAGCCCAGGTCAGTGGAGGTTAAAGCCAGAGGAACGCTCTCCGTCGAGCTGGTTCACACACCATTGTGATTTTTTTTCTGGTCTCCAGTTTACGATTCGTCGTGTCTCGGCTCCTCCGTGCTCGGGCCTTTGTCTCCCTGCTGCTCCGTCCCTCCGTCCTCCCGCACCGACTGATTGGAAGAGGAGTGGTGAGACGGGGAGCGGCTGGCTTCGAATAGCCCTCCGAGTTCCAGGGACCCGGGCGTGGCCGTCTGCATGATCTTCTGACGCACTTCGCGGATCTTCAGCTGGAGACACACCTTGGTGGGGAAGGTGTCCGAGTGGCGCGCCTGGAAGGCCGCCGTGGCCTGAGCTGCAGACGGGGACAAACGAAGACGACACACACAACAGACTGGTGTGAAAAACATGATAAAAAATTATTAGAGCTTTAGTTTGCCTTTATTATTATATTTACTTTGATCAAAGTGTTCATTTATGAAGTTGATGATGCTGAGACATGAGTTATATTTGTTCTTGGTTAGTTTTGTGCTCAGAGCGACGACCTCGTACCGTTGGACAACTTAAGGAAAGTTTGCAAGAACAGGACAAAACAACACCTGAAACTCTTCATCACTCCTCATCATCAAGGAATGGAGGCGTTACGACGAGGGAGAAACTTTAACCCCAATTCAAAAAATGTCTCAAAAAACCAACGATGAATTCTGCTACGCCCGTATTTAATTCACAGTGGAACATCGTAAACATGTCAAGTGTCGAAACTAAGAGACCAGGAGGAAAAAAGATCATTTTGAATTTTATGGAAGCAACGCTGTAAAAAGTTGGACCAGGAGCAACAAAAGGCTGAAACGATTTCAGAACAAAGTCCATGAATGGAAATCTGTGAAGACTTTGAATCTCCATCAGCTCATGATCTCATCAATGTTCATTCTCATCTCATTCAAATGGACCGAGGTGAAGTCCAGAACTGTTCCGAGGTCAGACGGGTACAAATCTGAAGTTCTGTTTGAAAACCATGGACGCCACGTCCTCTTTACTAATGAGGGACTGTTCAAATGCCTGCCTCTCTGTTGGTATTGGGGTGCATAAGTGCCTCTGGCATGGACAGCTTACACATCTGGAAAGACTCCATCAATGCAGAAAAGTATCTACAGGTTTTAGAACATCTGCTCCCATCCAGCAAAGATCCAGGGCTGGATGACAAACAGAGTTCCCCATCAGACCAGAATGGGACAACGTTCCCTCCAAAACCTCCAACCACTGGTCTCCTCAGGTTCCCCAAAACCTCCAACCACTGGTCTCCTCATGTTCCCCAAAACCTCCAACCACTGGTCTCCTCATGTTCCCCAAAACCTCCAACCACTTGTCTCCTCATGTTCCCCAAAACCTCCAAGCACTGGTCTCCTCAGGTCTTAAAACGTTTACAGACTGATGTTAAAAGAAGAAGGGATGCTTCACGGAGGGAAACATGGACCATTAACGACTTCAAAGAGACGTGTTCCTGCAACAAAAGTGTAAATTTTCTAACTTTGTTCCTAAAAATAGCAACATTTCTTAATTTCAAGATGTGATGTGTTTGCCGTGTTCCACTGTGAATCATATCGGGGTCAATGAGACCTTTTCAGGATTAGGGTTGTGGTTGTCCGACCACGTCTGAAAGTTCTTGGACTTTCATTCAGTACTGGTTTAAATCTCCACTCCTATTGGTCGTTCTCTCCGTGTTAAGTCTACCTGATGGAAAGAAGCCGTGTTCCTGAAACAGCTGCATGACCAGCGCTCGGCGTTGATCCAGCGTCCTACGCAGAGATGAGTATGGAACCCTGTCCAGGTCTCCCAGAGGAACCTCGGCTTCCAGACCTGGTTGGACAGAAAGGTGTTAAGAGGACTGTGGGAGCCTGCGCAAAGATCTCCACCTGGCGCTGATGGACCTGTTCTGTCAAAGGTGAAGATGTCTCCTTCACACTTGGCGGCGCTCTTCGGGGTGTTAGGCTCCGAGCTGCAGCTGGAGAGACGACGGGTCTTTCTCCGCGGGGAGCTCGGGTCTTCTGCTGACACATCGAGGTCTGGATGGAGTCAGAGAATTAAACGATTACAAATGACTAAACAAATCTTTAAAGGCTGCCAACGAAGCTACTGCTCAAACCCAACTTTAGTTTGTCATTTTGGCCCGATTAGGACTTTAGAAGGTGCTTTTAGAATACTCTTATTTTGAAGGTAATTTGGGAGCTCTTATTTTAAAAGGTAGAGTTGAACACTTTTTTGGACATTAGGAACTAAATTCTTTACAAAGTACCATAAAGTTCTTAATTTAGAAGTTATAATCAGTGAGCTAAAAACAGAAAAATGTAAGAAAGAGTCAGCGACTCAAACTTCTGAGGCACTCGTTGCCATGGTGATTCCCACCTTTTGGAAAGGCAGTAAGAAATGTAGACAAAAGTTGAGCTTTAAACTGTCACTGTGGAAACTAGGCTAGAGTTTAAAACTCTTCAGCCATTAGCAGCAGAACTCTACTACAAATGTAAATATTTATCTTTCAAAGGTGTTTTATGTAGGAGATATGACAAAGTAAGAAGGCACCAAATAAAACAAAAAGAAGCTATACGATAGCTAACAGCTAAAAGTAGTTGAACGGCTGTAAGAAGAAAAACGTAGCAAGAGTTTGGGTGCAAATTAAAAGTAAAACATTAAAAGCATCAAATTGTTAGCAAAAAGATGAAAGTAGTAGAATGTTAGCTAAAAGCTAAAATAACATGGGACTAGCTAAAATGTAAAAGTAGTAGAGATGAAAGCTAAAAGTAGAATGAGGCTAGCTAAAAATATAAAACTAGCAGAACGTTAGCTAAAAGCTAATGGTAGCACATGGAATGTAAAAATCTAAATGTAGCTGAATGTTAGCTAAAAGTAGCATGTGGTTAGCTAAATATAAGCAGCTGAATGTTAGCTAAAAGTAGCATGTGGTTAGCTAAAATTAAAAAAATTGCAGAATGTTAGCTAAAAGCGAAAAGTAGCATGGGACAGCTAAAAATCTAAAAATTGCAGAATGTTAGCTAAAACAGGTCTCTCTTATAAATGAGTTCTCACTAACCTGTATAAATAAAGGTTGAATGAATGAAAAAAAATCTAAAAGTATAATGACACAATCTAAAAGCATCCCATGGTTAACTAAAATTAACAAAAGTAAAGCTACAAGCAAAATGTTCGCTAAAAGCCAAACACATTAGAATGTTAGCTAAAACAAGCTAAAAGGTAGTAAACAACTAAAAGCAGCAAAACGCAAATCACTACATAAAAGAAGTAAAAGATTAGCTAAAACTAACAAAAGCATAGCTAAAATTACCAAAAATAACAAATCTAAAAGTAACAGAATGTAAGTTGAACATTAAGCTAAAACTAGCAAGAGGGTAGTTAGAAGGTAAGAAGTAGCAAAAGGCTAGCAACAAGGTAAAAGTAGCATAAGAAGGTAAAACTAGAGCAAATAGATGCAAATTTCAGAGATTTTGTTTAAAGAAACTGAAAAGATCTATGTATTCCTATGGGGAGAATATTTGTAAATAAAGTTAAATACTTTGAAAAGTATAAAAGTTACAAAGAACAAAAGCCAAAACACAGCTCATGAATGCACTGAACGTTTGGACATAAATAAACAGCTAAATAAAGAAGCACAAAGTCTGTAGTAGTTCAATAATGAATAAAAACAAGAAAAGCAGTCCCGCAGTTGCTCCGCCTCACCCGTGGAGTTGCGCCTCTTCTTGCGGTAGCTCCCCAGGATGGCTCTGGGTGAGGTGGCCAGACTCTGAAGCGTCGGCGAGGGAAGGACGTCCTCGGGGTTGAACTCGGGAAGCTCCGCGAAACGCTCCTCGAAGTACGTCTCCGACAAGACCCTGCAGACACAAACGGCGCCGCCACATCAGTCCATGCTGACGCTGCGTGCACGTCGTCGTCCCTGCAGGCTTCAGCCGCCGTCTCCGCGGCCTCCTTCGTTCTGTCTAACCAAAGGCTGCGGCGCTCTGCCCACTCAGTCAACAGAGTTCCCACCGTGATCTCACGCAGCTGAAAGTTTGCTCTGAAAGGGTTCTGAGACTGCGCTTGGTAAGAGAGCCAACAGATGGGAGCGCTGCGTCTCCTCCTCGAGCTGCTTCGTGCCAAACTGACAGAAGAAAATCAACGGGAGCTCTGAGGAATCTGTTCCGACGATTCTGCGAACGCCGAGTCAGAATCACATACGTTCATTTTAATCAAGCCACACCCACGAGCTTGGCGCCAATTTAACCGCTCATTTATTAAAACGTTTGGCTTGATCAGGAAGCTGTGCTACGAAGTTTAGGTTTAGTAACTTTTAAACTTTCTGAATCATTTAACAAAGAAATACATCATCGCTTCAATTTCTTAAAAACAACCATCTTTTAAATCTGCTTCAGCATACAGGCTCTATTTTTATCTACTTTTAGCTTTTAGCTACTGCCTTGAAGATTTAGACTTTTAGCTTCAGTTCTCCTAATTTTAGTTTCAACTATTGTTTAGCTTTTAGCTATGATATTGCTAATTTTAGCTTTAAACTACTGTTTTACAACAGTCAATGTTAAGGAACTGTTGTACTACATTATGTATAAAGCTAAAGTTTAGCTAATTTTGGCTTTTAGCTACAGTTTTTCTAATTTTAACATTTAGATGTGGTTTTGCCAAATTCAGTTTTACCAACAACCATGCCTTATTTAGCTTTTAGCTACAACTTTATTCTTTTTTTTTGCCTCAATTATGTTTGTTGCATTTAGCTTTTAGCTACTGCCTTGCAGATTTTGACTTTTGCTTCAGTTCTCCTAATTTTAGCTTTGGCTATGGTTCAGCTTTTAGCTACGATATTGCTAATTTTAGCATTGAAACTAATGTTTTGCAACAGTAAATGTTAAGGAACTGTTGTGCTACATTTTGCATAAAGCTAAAGTTTAGCTAATTGTGTCTTATTTATTTATTAACCTTTATTTAACCAGGCAAATCCCAATGAGATCTTTTGCCTGGGCCTGAAGGCAACCTAGCATGCATGTTTTGGTTTTAGCTATTTCTTCAAATTTTTATATTTAGGTGTGGTTTTGGTGACTATTACCAACAGCCACGCCTAATTTAGCTTTTAGCTACAATTCTACTACTGTAATGTTTTGCTTTAATTATGATTTTGTTGCAATTAGCTTTTAGCTACCATTAAAAAAAATGTAGTTTTTACTTATGATATTGTTAATTTTAGTGTTTTAGTTGCTGTAACGCTACAGTAAACTTCAAGCAACTTCTATGCTACTTTTTGTTTTAAGCTAAAGTTTAGCTAATATTTGCTTTCAGCTAGTTTTTCTAGCTTTATATTTTAGATATGGTTTTGCCATTTTCAGCTTTGAGCTACTGAAGCTATTATTAGCGTCTGCTCGTTACCTCAGTTATTTCAGATAAGTCGTTCAGCTCCAAGCATTCAATCTGGATTTTTACAGAAAATTCAGATTGTTCTCGTTTTTAACAGATTTACAGAATGACCAGAAGGATTCGTTTAAATTTGCTCTGATTAGATCATAAAGTTTAAAAACAGAAATTATGACAGAACGTTTCAGATCCTCGTTTCCTCTCAAGTTCAGATCTCTGAAGTTTCTTTGGACGTCAAACGATTTAAGGTTTCTCACTTGTCGTGGGAGTCGGGCGTCTTTTTGAGCGGAGGGGGTCGAAACTTGATCTTCTTGGAGGTAGAGGGAGCTTCTCTTTCTGCTGGTGGAGGGGGAGGTGGGTCCAAACCTGAGGGTGGAGGAGGAGGTGGGGAGCGAGGTCCAGCCTGGAGAAGAGACGTTCAGACGGGTCAGAGGAGCCGTTTGTTGCGTTTTATGACTTAATGTCGTTTGACACAAGAAATAAACTAAAAATCTCCTGCAAGTAAATAAAATCTGAACATTTTCTGTCTCTTTATCAAACAAACTAAAGTAGACCTTGAATTAACTGCAAACGGGACTTTGTTTTTGTTGCTAAATTCAAATTAAATTAAAATAAAATCATCAGAGCATCTTTTACACTCTAAAGAAAAATCACCTGACTTAAACTTTCAATAAGTTTTTATTTAATGTGCAAAAAGTCTGAAGCCATCTTTTAATGAAGATTCAACATTTATGAAGCTGTTTTTTCTGTTTTTATTCATTTGTACGGTTTTATCTTCAGTCTAAATAATTCTGCATAGTTTGTGATATTTCACCCGTTCGTGTGTCAAAATGTTCGGCTCGTTCTGGAGATGGGGCTGTGATGTTTGGCTGCTGTAACTTTTATAATTTTCACAAAATTTAAACGTTTATTCAAATGTTTCTCATATTACTTTTCTTTAGCCACGCTTTCTTTGTTTATTTCCTTTTAGCTTAGGCTAGAGAGCCTTTAGCTACTTTAGCTTTCAGCCAGCTTTACTAATTTTACTACATTTAGATAAGACTTTTGATCATTTATTTAGATTAGCCTTCTGCTACTTTTAACTACAAATTTGATATTTTTACCTTTTAGCTAGCCTTTTACTACATTTAGCCAGCTTTCTGATACCGTTAGAAAGCTTTTTGACACTGAACTTGTTTTATACTTTCAGATTTAAGCCACTATTCTGTTACTTTTAGCTGTTAGATAACCTTTGGCTACTTATAGCTTCTAGCTAGCCTTGATACTTTTGATATTTTTTGCTTTTAACTGACCTTTTATTGCTTTTAGCCTGCGTTTTACTACATTTATCTTTTAGCTAGCGTTCTGTTTCTTGTAGCTTTAACTCAGCTTCAGCTTCTTTATCAAATTTCAGTGACGTCATCGGCTGTAACTTCACAGACAATAATTTTACTCTCCGTTTGTTTTCAGTTGTAATTTAAATTTTCTCTCGTCTGACGAGGCTCAAACTTAAAAACCTGCTTGTGAGAATAATTTTCTTTGATTCAGAGTTTAGCCTTCGTTTAAACTTCTGGGCATTAGTCAAACTGAAGCTGGGCGTTTATTTCCAGATGTTTTCACCTCTTTGCTGCCGTGCTCGTCGTTCTCCGTCTCTTTGGCTCCTTTCTTCTCTCCGCTCTGCTTCGTCACTCCGTCTGGCTCTTCATCGGTCTCACTTTGCTTCTCTCCCCTGGTTTCATCTCCCGTATCTTCTTCTTTGATGTTCAGACCGATGTCGTCCTCTTTTTTAACTGGAACATGTAAAATATGAAGCTTTTTGATTTTTGAAGCAAAAACACAGAAAGAGGTTTCACTCCTCACTGACTAAACTTTCCAACATCCGTGCGGTGTCAGCCTTTACGTTGCATCCCCCCCCACCCCCCCAGGAACTCTGGGTGTCTGCATCACACAAGTTTGCAAAAAATCACTGAAACTCGCTCAAAATTCAAGTCTGCCACAACAAAACCAGCCGGTACTGGACTCAACTCCAGCTCATAAATTTAGGAGGTGAATCTAAAATGTCTCTTTCATCACGATGGCTGCAGACTTCACCTGTAAACTTCATGAACTGGACTTTAGAGCCCGTACCTGCAGGACCGGCAGCTCCAAAGCTGCCCATCGAGGAGCTCGGGTCACAGATGGACGACCCGTCAGTTTCAGTGTCCAGCTGGCTCTCCTGCTTCACCTTGACCTCCACTCCTGTTCCAGGCTGAGAGGTCGGCGCCGCTGACCCTTTGGCCAGCGGGGAAGGTGGGTTTGCCGAGTCCTGAGCTGCAGCGGCCAGCGCAGGCGGCACGGCCGCCATCGAGACCACGCCGGTCGCCAGAGCAACGGTTTGAGCGGCGGGATAGATGGCTGTTAGAACCTGAAGGAAACCAAGCAGGTTTGGGGTTTAATCAGTGGATTCATGAAAAAAACATACTAGAAGTTTCTGTTTTTCTTTACTTGACGGCCGGCGGTTGCTGCTGCCTGAGCCAGGGGAGTCTGTGATTGACAGCTCAGGGGCGGAGCCGGAGCCAACAGCGGCGGCTGACCGACGATGGGCTGGACCAGGGTCTGTCCCACCGGGGCGATGGCGGTGAAGCCCAGGGCAGCAAGGTGTGACGGGAGGTACGCGGGACCTTGGGGCTGTGCACCTTGTTGGGACGTTGCCGTGGTTACGCCTGGGTTGGACTGGACGTAGGTGATCCTGGATGGAGACAAATGTAAGAGATGATAAGGAAAGTTCACACGAGCTCAAACTGGCCTACTTTTTCTAAATATTTTGTGTTAGTGACCTGGCGGGTGGGGAGGTTAGAAGGACCGTCTGTGGAGGGGCAGCACCAGGAGCCATCACTGTCGCCATGGAAACAGGGAAGGGACTCCCAGGGTGCACGGCGGCAGCAGCAGGATGAACTTTGGCCTGCACAACAGACAAGGGAGCGATCTGGACGATCTGCTGAGGAGAACGGAGGGAGGACCAGGAAAAGACTAAATAAAGTTCTTACTGGAAGAGCTTTAAAATAAATTATTAAATAAAATCTTAAACATACCCTGAAATAAACTTTTGTCTGTTATTCTAAGCGAGGGCGTTTATTCTTACAGCGCCGACGCTGCTTTAAAAAGTCCAACGTTTAAGTTCAGACTGTTATCTGGAATAACTTTAACATTTACTAAAACGGTTTTCAAATGTGTGACAGCATGCGCCTCTTTCAGTCCCTTTAAACCCAAAAAAATTACAAAAAAATTGTGTAAAAAAAAATCAGTTTTCCTTTTGCTTTTGGAGCACGCTTTGATGAGTTCAAGGACTATTTCTCTGCGTTTCAGGCGCGTTTCTAAAACATCCTTAAGCATTTAAAAACTAAAAGTGTGTGTTAGACTGTTACCTGGAATAATTTCCTTATTTATAAAAAAACCTGTTGTAACAACTTTGTCACTTTGTTTAGGTCTGAAAATATCGGTTCAGATTGTCGTCTTTTTGTCATTCCTGCAGTTTACCGCCCAGCTTCTTCGTCTTCATCTCCACTCCAATTTACTTTAAATCATGCTGCATTCACTGCCCCTTTTATTAACCAACAAAATCCTAACTTCACTTTCTATGATGTATTTCACCTGGACTAGAAAATATAGCCTCTCGTCTTGGTGCTTGTTTCAATTCAAAGCTGGAAATTCTGATTTTCCATTTGTCACTGAATGCACCATCAGCACACAGCAGCAGAACTTGTGTTTGTCCTGAACTTAGAGAAATATGTAAAGAATTGAACTTTTATTAATCAAAGTTTTGGATAAAAACTCTTATCTTCTCTGTCAAACTGTGTTTTTGTATTTTATTATTAAACTAAAAAAGTGTAAATTTATTTTGTTTTTGAGACAGGCTGCTGGTAAAGAACCCAAAGACCCAATTTAACCTTTAATTAGTCTAATTTGTGTCAACGCGACTCTGGTTCATCTCCTGAGTTTAGGAGTCGTTTTAGAGCTGAAAGATTCATGAGTCATTCTTTTTATGATCGTTTTATTGTCGTGTGAACCTCATCTGTGGTTTTTAAAACAGGTCTCTCGTGATAATGAGTCCTCGTGACTCAATGAGACTAAACTGTATAAATAAAGGTTGAATTAATTCTACTAAAAATAGTTGAAAACAAGGGCTGAAAATAGGTGGAAATTAAGTTTAAATTAAATCTTTGAGAGAGTTTCAGAAAGCCTTTTCTTCAAGAAAATCTCTACTATGGGGGAAATTAAAAACTTTGGGCTGGATTAGGACTTTTGCACAATGAAACACCTGTCAGGAAACAGGAAGCTCTCACCTTGTTTCCTGCTGCAGAGCCATTCTGCACAGGAAGGGGCGGAGCCACCAGGGAAATGGAAGGCTGAGGAGGCGTAGACCCCGTCCTCACTGTTGCTATGGGAACCAGCATCTTGCTCTGCAGGACCGGCGACTGGGTTTGGACTAATGAGAGAAGAGAAACGGAGAAGTGAGCAGCTCGTAAGGAGCAGAGACGAGGGGAGAGGATACTTCAGGTGCTTCTGATTCTTAGGAACAGAGGGTTCTGACGGTGTGGGTGGGCGGTGGGTGCTCATGGTGGAGGTGTTTCTCTGTGAAATTATAAACCTTTCTACAACCTCAGTTCCAAATACATGCATGCATTTAAAATCTTACAAACCCGTATTTTATTCACAATGGAATTAACACATCAAACATTTAAACTAAGAAATTTTAGCCTTTAATGAGGAAAAATTGTAATTTTGATTTTATAGCAGCAAAATGTCTTAAAAGAAGCTGGAACTGAGCAACAAAAAGGCTGCCAAAGTGAGTGGAACAAATAATTAACAGCTGGAGGAGCTTCTTGCTACAGATGAGGTAAACTGGCAACAGGCCAGCAAGAGGTCTGAGCTTTTTAAAAGTAGAGATGGGCAGAGGTTCAGCAGGCAGAGCCCCCAACAAAAGAGCTGAAGAATCTGTAGAAAGCTCTGAGCGCAAAGGGTTCCAGAACTGCTGCGGTCTTCTCTGGACCGCTCGTTTTAAACGGACTGAGGTGAAGTCCAGAACTGTTCTGAGGTCAGACAGGTCTGAAGTCCTGTTTGGAAACCACAGAGTAAAATGGAAAGACCCTACCTGTTATCAGAGCACAGTTCAAAAGCCTGCCTCTCTGATGGTATAGGGGTTCATTGGTGCATCTGGCACGGTCAGCTTGCACATCTGGAAAGGCTCCATTAAAAGTGTAAATGATTTTAGAACATCTGCTTCTCTCCAGCAAAGAAATCAATGAACAAAGACCCAGAACTGTTGAACTGTTTGAATCACCATCAGACTGGAATGGGACAATGTTCCCTCTGAAACCTCCAACAACTGGTCTCCTCAGATCCTCCAAAACTTCCAACAACTGGT